GAAGGCCGCGGTCCTTTCACCCTTCTTTTTGGGTACAAATCGACAGGTGAAGGAAAGCCGTGCTCCTTTCACCCCTCGGCTTTGGCCACAAACCGGGAGGTGAACCCTTTACCCGTCGGTTTAGGCCACAAGCCGAAAAGAAAAGGAAGGCCGCGGTCCTTTCACCCCTCGGTTTTGGCCACAAATCGAGAGGTGAAGGAAGGCCGCTCTTTCATGCCTCGGTTTTGGCTACAAACCGAGAGGTGAACAAAGGCCGTGCTCCTTTCTTCCTTCTCGGTTTTGGCCACGAGGTGAAAGAAGGCCACGGTCCTTTCATCCGTCGTCTTTGGCCACGAACCGAAAGGTGAAGGAAGGCCGCGCTTCTTTCACCCCTCGGTTTTGGAGTGTGGTCTAGCCGGTCCCGCCATTGCAGTGGCTCGTTTTGTTTTTCGTTTGTCCTGTTTCTGATATTCCACCGCCCTGTTTTCTGATATTGCCCGTCGTGTTTTCTGATATTGTCCGTCTGGTTTTCTGATTTTTTTGCGTCTGTTTTCTTGATTTCGGCTGTCCGGTTTTCGATTTTGTTTTCTGATTTCGTCTCGTGTTTTCTGATATCGTCCGCTCTGTTTTCGAATTTGTTTTCTGATTTCCTCCGCAGCCCCTTCCTCCCCTCCACCCCCTGCCCCGCAATGGTATCCCTCGATTTGGTCATCCCCCCAACCCAGCTGTAGACGGTTTGGGCCTTGAACTTCGGAGTTTAGTCAAAGCCATCCGCACAGGTACTGAAGGCTCCAGGCACTTGTGTTTGGGGGGATACCATTGGGAAAGGGGCCAGAACGCACAGCGCACAACTGTATGGTTGCGCCACACCTGCACGCACACACCCAAACTCGCGCTAAAGATTAGACTGTGGTGTGAGCAGTTATCTCGCTTGTGCCCGCGGCTTGAGGTCAACGGCTACCACACAGGAGCGGACACTGGAGTTTTGCAACTGCAACATGGCGTCAGAGAAATTGAGCATTCGCTCACATGCTGTGCCTTTCAGTAGCGGCTCTACATGAATTTTCATGAGACCTTTCAAAGTGGGTCCACACCTGAATGTTCTGCAAGTTTGGCAGAGATAGCATCTGGAGGATCTGACCCCTTGGCCCAGACGATGAAAACAGTTTCGACCATGCGGTCATTCTGGGTAGCAAGCTTAGCAGTTCTGTCATATTGTCTGTGACAAGCACGCGAACGCAGGCAGCCGCAGTAAGCCGTGCAGTAGCACAGGTAAAGCCGCCATGGAAAGTCATAGCATCCCGTGAGCACAATCCAGTGTCGCTTCGTAGTCGCTTAAGGAGAACAAGGTGCGTGAAAACGCGGGCCGGCGCCTCAAGCCTTCCGCTGTTTGTGAGGTCTGTGGTTTGCAACCGGCTTGCATCACTATGCCAGGAAACAAGGATGGTGAGCGAGAGGCTGGATGAGTTCTGGATTCTGTTGGTGACGGCTGAACTTGTCAGCAGGTCCGGTGGTCGAGGGTGTCCCACGTCGAGACCTTAAAGACTTCCCAAGGCCCATGACGACATACATACTTCAAGCCTCGAATTCTTGCGTTGTTGTGGGCTAGGGCAAGTATGGCTGAAGAAAGAACTCACCAAGCTTCAAGCCCACGTGGACTGCCACAGCCGCCTTGCATGCTGGCACGGTGGATGCAAAGAGGCGAGACTTGTGCGCTTGGATTGGAGGACGCAAACAAAGAGCGCCTGCTGGAACTGAGCCTTCGCACGCGGCCTGGTGAGAGTCTCCCGCCACATGTTTCTGTACTCTTCAAACAGCACTTCCCATCAGATACTGTAAGGCCTGCGGGGTCAAGAAGAGAACTGTGTGGATGACGAGCACAGCACCCGGTGTTCCAGGCCCGCCTCCTTGACATGGACCCTCCCGTAGCTGCACGGAGCGAAAGAAGGAGCCCTTCGTCGAAAAGCTGCCAAAGCTGCGACTCGGAGACATCGAGATCGAGCTGGAGCCTCGGAGCCGAAATTCGCTTCGCTTCATGGCAGCAGAAGTGGGCAGTGGGCAGAGAGTCGATGAAATCTTTTCGCTTTGGCAAGGAGCAAAAAAAGGACAGCCGTGCGTTGATGCTAGATTGCAGGCCTAGCCCTTCAGTGCATCACGCGCGGCTCGCTTGCGAGCGTAGCAAGCCTTGCTTGGTCTGTGGTTTCACAGGAATCACAGAAACGGTAAGAGCCACATCACAAAACACTTAGATGCAAAGAGGCTTTGCTCGTTTGCTTTCTTTTCGCTGATCTTCAAAGCACTCCTTGCAAAGCTAAGGCTAAGTCCCGCATGCTCCATGCCAGTCCATGCATCATCCCAAACTTGTTACTTGTATTGAGTTTTGTAAGCCGAGATCGCGCGAAGTGTTCGTGGAGCATGCTTTCAACAACTACGCTTCTTCTGAAGATTCGGACCAGGTCAAGAGACTCCAGAGGATGACGAACTTCTCATGCCCGCGTGCTTAGAAAGTACTGGATCCAGCTAAAAGCGCAGAAGCGCTGCGGACGTCCTTTGCACTGAGGAGCCTCAAGTCTCTGAGACATGACTTCAACAAGGTCAATCGCAAGGCCCCCGTCGATATCATCCCACCATGTCGGAGCGTTTAGTTCGATTGATCTGCCGACCGGAGACAGCAGCTCTCGTCGAGGAGGTTCTGGAGAGGCGGTGTTCTCACTCTTCATACGCACCACTTCTTTCATGAAGCTGTTGCAGTTCTCATTCTTTTGTGGCTAGTTGAATTACCTGGAAGACTTCAGGTGTCTGCCGAAGGAGAAGCTGCGTCTTAGCCTTACCAATCTGTTGCAGACTCTTTCGGTTCTGTGGTTGCAGTAATGTTAGAGCATTGAGATGCGTCGAGGCTTTTTCATGGGGTTTGAGATGTTTGCGAAGGAATGGAGGATTCCCTGACTGCGGAGGCGCCCTCCCTTCAGGTGGGATTCGGCGCCTATCGATGACCGAAGTCCGCTGCTATGCACAAGAAGTGTCCCTGCAAGGTGGATTTCTGACGCCGAGGTTGTTTTCACTGTAGCTTTAGTTTTTTGACCAGGAGTTTTTTGCCAAGCCTGTCACCGCCTGGCCCAACCATTAGATCCGGATCTGATTCCTCAGTAGCTACTACTCCAAGAGTTGCTGAGTTGCTGTAGTCATAGCGGTGTTGCTTACGAGGGCCGGGCTCTGCAGGCATGCCTGCATGCGAGCTTAATTCGTGTCAATGTTTGCAAATGTAGTGCACGTCCGAGTATGTATCCTCACGGGTCACGAGACCTGCAGAAGATTTGCCTCAACCATGATCTGCAGTTGATCTTGTCGACATTGACGAGTGTGAACAGATCTTTCGGGAAGCTGACGGGCAATCAAGGGCCTTCTCTGCAGCCGCTAGAGTTTCGTTCCGGGTCCCATCTGGCCTTCCCAGCACTACCATGATGTTGGACAGCAGAGACTCTACTTATGGGGCGCGCCATGGACCCAAAGCAAGTCCTGCTGAAGTGGACCTGGGTCGCCTGCCCGAGTAGATCTTGCACCGGATGCATGACAAGGTCAACCTCGAGTGACTTCGAACTCCTACGCGTGCCAAGCTGAGAGAAGGTTTCCAAGTCCCGACCAACTCTCTCACAGTTTTCCGCGCTCCTGAGGAACGGTGCCAATCAAAACTGCGGTAATGTTATCTCCGACATCCCCAGCACACGTCTGGCCCTGATATTCATCCCGATCTTCGACCCCCCATATTGTGCTGTGCCGAGAAACTTGTGCAATTGAAGGTGTTGCTGCTCCACCAGGCGGCAAGTCCTCCATCTGTCTCGGCTGGGATGACAGGCGCCGGACTTTCGAGCCAAGGGCGAACTCTGTGGATGCATTGAGCTCCTGAAGGCCGGTCGCTCGAGCTGCAGGCCTTTGCAAGTCCTTGAGTTCATTACATCGCAGCGTCCGCAGAGTAAGTGCAGAGCTTCGCAGCTGAAAAGCAGATGCCCCGCAGCTGTATCTGCTGGAGCTGAGCGGTCTGAATGCTCAGGCAGGCCTATGGAGGAAGCATCGCGAGTTCAGGCTCTGTGGCACGAGTCGGGTTTATTGAATGTTTCGTACTTGTGCAGCAGAAGGCGCATCGCCCGCCCGCTGGCGAAGCCGTGCGCCGCGATCACAGGCAGCGCGCGCTTGAAGCCGCATTGCGAAAGCGCGTAACAGTCTGGACAGGTCAGTCCCGGAGGATCAGGCATGGGCAGGGTGATTGCAAATTGTGCTGCAAAATCAAAGCAGCAGTGGTAACAACACGGAGGGAGGATGTGGAAGACCGTTCTGCCAGAGGCATATGGGACGCGCCCACGCGAGAGGCCACCGAATCGTTGCTTTTCCAGTGTTTTTGGGCTGGAATGCCCACAGAGAACTGAAGTAGAAAATGTCATACTGCCGTTCTGATTCTTGCATGCAAACAGCATCGTGGTGCAAGTGTGGGGGTGGACTCTGTGTCTTGGCAATCCTGGTTGTGTTGCAGAAGAGTATTTTTGCAGAGAGAGGGAGAGAGAGAGTTTGAAAGAGCATGCTTTGTTCGCCTTGTGCAATCCTCCGAGCAACTGAATACTGGGTTTCCAATGAGCCAGTGCTGTGTTTTCGACCCCAGCCGCCGGCACAGTTCCAACAGCTATGCCTCTGGCAACAGCCAGAACACTGGGAATGTGCTGACGGGTGCCGCTTCCTCAGCTTGGGAGTGCACGAGAACTGCGGCTTCGACTGCCAAGTATCTTCTTTGCACCAATAAAGTCACCATGTCGGCGCACTCGCGAGAAATGAGTAGACTGAGTAGAAATGACCAAGGTGCCAACGACGCGAGTCATGAGGTTCTTCGCGTGAGTCTGTTTGTTTCAACTTTGCCACTGCATCGGCAGCGAGACGCCAGGCCACCAGGAGGTGCTTCGGAGATGAGCCTGGCATGGGATACAAGCACTCGTCCCCCAGCAGGAGCTCGGCGGGGACCGGCAGCGGGCCTCAGGGTCTCTTCGACTTGGCCTTTCGTGGCGGATGTGGCGGATCGTCCAAACACGTCCTGCAAGGCCGGCAGCGGGCAGGATGCCAGCGAGGACGCCCCGGCGTTTGCGTCTGCCTCGTGATCTCCAACCGCGCTTGCGTCCTTGCCTGGAATTCGGAGGCCTTTGGGCAGCGTGTGCGCGTCTCCTCGAACTCCTATGCGAACGGTGCAGATCAGCGCAAGACCTAGTGACAGTGCAGTGGTCTTCGTGTGGCACAGAATTCGCTGAGGAACTGCGGCAACGTGCTGTCCGATACCCCTACGACAAGGGTCTTAAGGCCGCAGCCGGGGATGCCAACCTTTACCAGCATGACCACAGGGTACTGCAAGGCTACGCAAGGCTATTGGATACCTCAGCAGACTTGGAAGTCGAGGCCTCCCGGCGGCGGGAGTTCGTTAAACCTCGGCTGGTCGTGCGGATCCCAGGGAACGAACATCAGGAAGCTACAGCTTCGATGCGGATTTGTTGTGGCATTTGTCCTTCGGCACAGTCCGGCGTGCAGCAGCTACTGTAGCTCAGGTACCGTAGGTGACACTACGCTGTGCGGCACGGAAACATAGAACCTTGCACGAAGCATGTTTGGCTCAGCTAAGGTGAAAAAGGAGACCTGCGCCTGCTGTGCGGCTTTCTCTCGTCGAGGATCAGAAGCATCAGCTTGATAGCAGCGTGTCCACGCGCACGTGCATTTTACAGGGTTGATATCCGCACGAGGACGCCAAACTAGAGAAGGGATCGGTGAAGGGGCTCTAAGTCTCGGTTGCTCGTGTCATCGAAGACGAAGAATCGAGGGATAGAGGAACTCATAGCGCGTGGCCTGGCTGAAGTGGGAGAGAGAGTACACAGACGGATCTCCCAAAATAGTCTTCATTTAATTCAGGGCAGCACTGTCGGGGCATTGGCCTATTGTGCCTCGAGTATCCTACTGTTCTAACGAACCTTGCAGTGACCACCATGCCGGGCATCGGCAACTGCCCTTCGCATCTTAGTAGTCTTGAGATTTGCATGTTGCTGTGCTCACGTTTCATGTGCGGTGACCGGCTGGTCATCGTGCTCTCCCGGGAAAGCTTGTCACAACTCTGAAAGCTGGACTGGGACCTTCGCTTGCCAAGTTGCTGGGAGTGCATTGAATGTGGCACTTGCTGCTTTTCAAGCATCGTGCTGGCTGCGAATGCAGCAGGGTGTGTTCTTGAAAGCGGCTTCCGAAGCTAGAGTGCTTGACGGCACTATCCAGAGAGATGTGGGCGCAGAAACGCGTTGAAGCCTGGAGGGATGCAATTTGTTGAGACTGCAATGTTGTGGGCTCTAGGACTCGGGGTGTCTTGCAAGTACGCATGATCGCAGTTTGTATCAGCCCATATCCATGAAGGCGCCTGAAGGAATCAAGCACAAGTTTGCTCACTGGCATCCTACTAGACCTCGGCCGCCATCGGCACCTCGATACTATGACTCACTTGCCTCAGCATGAAATCTGCTTGGCAGCACAACCTGCGAACTTTTCCCGAAGGTGTCGCCCTAGTTTGAGCAACCATCAACCGGTTCCGGTTGCCCTTGACGCCATGGATGAGAAAGCTGCTAAGAAGATTGTTGATGGGGTTCACAAACAGGCTACGATGTCCGTGAGGAGGCTCGCTAAGCGGCACCTCACGCACCTGGCAGCCTTGAGAGTGAAGCTGTGCCTAGCATTTCTGCTCTATGGTATCTCCTTTGCAGTGATTGCCGTGTTATTCAGCAACTCTGAGGGCACCCGGGAGCTGTCTCGGATTGAAATCCACGATGTGTCGAGCACCTCTTTGTTGATCTGGCTAAAGGATTGCACCATGGACTTGAAGGTGCAAGATGGATCTTCGATATCTATCACAGAAACTACAACTGAGTTTGATCCGAACAGCAATCAGCTGCACGTAGACTGGAACGAAACCGCGGACGTACTGTCAATCACTTGTTCTGGTCCTGCTTCCGAATATGGCGATGCAGTCACAGTCGTGGTTGAGATTGGCCACACAATTCACTTCCAAACTTTCGAAGTCGTTTTTGAACCGGGGGGAGGGAGGAGTTTGTTTCGCTCCAATTTCTCAGGTTTAGACAACGAATCTCTGGGAGACAAGGTTTCGGCATCAGGGGACGAAGGTGTTATCCAGATGTATTATGCAACAATGGGATCCCTGTCAGTGCAGCTGGATCATGGCTTCGTCTTCCTCTATGAAGTGAGCTTTACAGAGGCAAGCTTCGTACTTGGCGGGCAGGTCGACATCTATCTTTGGCAGGAGACATATCAGGCTGGTCTCGATATCAACATACAAACAGGCGATGGCCAGAACACTAGCTCTGGGCTCTGCATCTCGGATTGGTCTTCACGGCCGTTGCCGCAGATATCGAATTTGGGTGGCTATGATTACGTTTTCTCGGTTGGCTCAGGGACCAATCGTCGTCCGATGAACATTATCCGGAACAGTGCCTTGAGTCGGCTCTACCTTCAGAGCGGCGTGTGGCGAAGCCAGAGGCATTGCAACAATACCTTTGACTCAGTGATCCGCATTGATTCTCAGTTGGAAGACAGTTTCAAAACATGGGCAGCAGTGGCCGAAACCAGGTCAGAGTTACTGAATGTGTGGCTGATGGGCCCTTCTTTGGGAAGTGAGATCCAGTCTATGACCTCAGATGGGTTTTGGATCTTTTCTCGGTTTGGGGATGCTCTCATGTGGTTTCCCAGCGGACTTTGGAACATCTTCACCCTGGGGCTGTTTACTCTTCGCACATCGCGCGGAACCTTTCTGGTGAAGGATTCCTTGTGCACGACCAAGCATGACAGGCTGACAACTGGTACGCCCGATTGTGCTTTGGCAGGGATTTGCAAATCACGCGGCTTGTGCTTTTTTTCTTCAAACATACTTGGCGCCCTGTGAAACACGAGGGTAGAATCTTGCCGTTGTACGCCTGAGGCAGACCCAAAAACTCGACAGAGACGTTGTGGCACCAACAGACGATGGAGCGCTGTGCCAAAGCCTTGAGGCACAGCCTGCCCGACGGCCTGAACTTGACCAACGACCGCAATGGCAAGGTGTACTATGTGGATCGCACGTTCGCCGACGCTGTGAACCCTTTTCCCTCGCTAGCCGACCAGAGCGTGTCCATCATGTCCTCGAGCACGAGTGCTTTTGTAAAGGTGGATCATGGGCCAGACAACCTTCGTGGCCCCTGGGGGCTTCTCTTCAGTATTGTGATGGTCATCTTGGCCTTGGCAGGAGGCATCTCGGACCCAAATTTGATGCAGCTGCGTCAACTTCGAATCGCTTAGTTGAAGTATATTGAAGTTTTGTACGAGACGAGACTGTCGAGCAAAACAAAGCCTGGGATCAGTGCCTTTGGCACGGTGGGACCACTCCTGACACACACGCGCAGAACTGATTAACACTGTTCATGTATGCTTCTTGTGCCTATGACAGGGAGCAAGGGCTTGGAAGCTTGCAGGAACCAGACAGTTTTGATGGTATGTTCCACCTCGTCTTCAACCTCATGACAATCACCATCTTGCTGTTGTCCGTCGTCATTCGCTCCATCACCATGCCGTCACCACCAGCATCACCACAATGGCATGTATAATTATCTTCATCACGATCACTGCCTCCTCGTCATCGTTATTGTCGCGACCTTCTTCGCTTCGTCGTGTGTCCCCAGCTCCGTTCAGCTGTGGTTGGCTGGGTGCACCAAGCGAGCACTTCAGTGTAGTGTAGTCTGCAGAATCCCGAAGACGCAGCACGAGCTTGGGCATTGGCAGGCACCTTTGCATGCGCCGTGGTCGTTACCCTGTACAAGATGCAGAAGCGGAGGTACCTGAAAGCCAGATCCGTGCATCTTGGCCAGGGCAATCCGGGTCTCCGGGAACTGCTGGAGTTGGAGAACCAATGCAATCTTCTGCTGACCCTGGTGCGATGCCTCATTCTTCGATCGCCTTCCGGCAAAGGCACGATCACCGTGCAGAAGGTGATTGAGATTTGTGTAGGGCATTTTGTCGTAATGCAACTGCTGGTTACGCCGATGGTCCTCGTCGCCATCCTCAATACCAACAACACGGCGGAGCTCCGTGCAGGCTGTAACTTCAACGAATGGGTGGCTGGAGGTTGTTTAAATGTTCGCAACCGCGGGATCTCAACCACGATGCTAACTGCTTCGATCACCATGAATTCCATTTACTTTCTCAACACGATCTTGGAGTACACCACGCGCTATGCGCTTAACAAAGCTGAGGAAACAGGGGATAGCGGAAGCAGGTACAAGTTCGCCATGAAGTTGCGCGCCTCCAAGGTCTACAGAGTTTTCGTGGCCGTGTGTTTGATGTTGTCACTCTTCTTCTTCTGTTCATATGTTGTCCTGGGGGTCATTATGGTCTTATTGGGAACGCTTCTACAGCCTGAACGTCTTTCTCCGGTGCTCCTCGCCGTCGGTGGAGCAGTGATCATCGCCCAGCAGGTCACACAGAAGTTCGACGAGTTTGTGGAGCAGGCTAAGGTCATGGCAGCTGAGTGGCTGGAGAAGCATGCCGATGCTGCCTGGAAGTCTGCACAGGAGGTGATCGGCCAATTGGAAGGCGTGGCAGACTCTGCCCTAAACTCTGCGCCCATTGCCAAGGATGCTTTGGATCGGATGGGCGTGAATCCTGATGCTTTCAGCGCAGAACTCGTCATGGGAAAGGCGCGGCAGGCAGCTGAGGTCGTCGTTGACTCAGCTGCCGATCAAGTGTACCAAATGAGCGCCGAATCAGATGCCACTGGAAGCTTGCTGCACAGAGCTAAAGATGTGCAAAGTTCTTCTCAGGCGATGTTGGCCCAGGTTGCAGAGAGTCTGCCTGGCAAAGTCGTTACCGAGGCTGAACAATTCTTGCAACCGGCTGCCACAGCGCTCGCACAAACGATGCTGGAGAAACTTGAGCCTGGTTCACGCTCGTTGCTCGAGCAAGCTTCGACAAAGGCGGGCGTGGATCCTTCTGCCATCATTCACACGCTCCAAGCTTCGAGCAAAGCAGGCGTGGATCCTGCTGTCATAACGCAGGCGGTTCGTGGTTCTGGGGATGGCTCCTTCGCTAGCGCACGTTCCCTGATCGAGGAAGCTTCGAGCCAGGCAGGTGTGGATCCGTCTACCATGATGCAGGCTCTACAAGCTTCCACCGATGCAGGTGTGGATTTTTCTGTGCTAATGCAGGGCTGTGGTGCTGCAGACCAACTCAAAGACCTAGCAAGCGCGGCTCAGTCGTCGATTGAAGACGTAAAGCTCAAAGGAGTGAATGCAGCAACCTTAGTGGGGAGCGGTGGCCCAACTGGCGTAGTCACAGACCGAGTGGTCGAGATGAACGTGCCGTTGAGGGGAATAATGGAAGAAGCTGTCGGAAACTCTGCTCAACTGCTTGGAGCATTGGATGATTTGGAGGCAGGCGAGGTGGTTGAGAGTCATGGACAATCACTTGACCTTGAGAACTTTCTCGTGATGTTGGGCTTAAGCAAGGGCCAGCTCCTCCTCCTCAATATCAATGCCGTTCTTCTCTTCCTCTCGTGCGTGAGCTTCATCCTGATTGGTTCCACCTTGTTTCTGGGCGGGGGCATTGATGCCTTGATTCCACAGCTCTCGGCGACAGCTGGAACACTCGGAACAACAGTTGCTGCTATTCGATCGAAAAGCAAGGAGTTCAAGAACGCTGACCTGTCTTCAATGTCAGAGGCTTTTCAAGATGCCACAAGTCAGCTGCAGAACCCAAAGCAAGATAGCGAAGAGAAGAAGCAACAATGAGGTGCTGAGCGCCATGACCACCAACTAGCGTGTGGCTCGTCATGTCCGAATCTGGTGCTGACAGGTTTACACGAACGAGTTCGAACGGCACTAATCTTTACCCGTTTGAATAATCATTGCTTGGAGACAGTATCGGGTCGCGAAGCGAACGCCGATCTGAACTCTCCTGTGTCTTTTATGAGATCTAGTGATGACTTCATCAGGTTTGATAATTTGTGTACATTGCATAGACTTCATAGAATAGATAGAAGAATAGTGAAACATAAGAGTTTATAATAATTTTGAATAGAAATTGGGCATGAAAGGAACATATTTAATATCATTTTATGATATGGTTGCTTTTCTATTTCGATATTCTTTGTCTAAATATGATTCTTTAGATTTCTCATGAATAAAGAATCGTGAGAAATTATTTTGAATAGAAAATTGAAGGAATTTATTTTCTAGAAATTATTTCTATATATCTATCTATCTATTTATGATTATAATTATAAGTATCTTCTGATAATACTTTTACAGGACGAATGGTTGAATTGGATATTTCTTATAAAATTTTGATATTCTGGTAATTTTTGTTTTTAGAAAAAGAAAATATTATTATTTAGATTAAAAATTTTTTCGTATTGATAAAAATCGAAATATAATATAATTGAAAATTCGTACTAATATATATGAACCTTGATTATAGTTATGATATATATATATTTAATTATTTTAATAAGATTTTAATCGATGAATTCGGGCTTCGAAATATGCTTTAATAAAATGGTATTATATTGGTCGTTTCGGTTTATTTATGTGTGTTCTTGGAACTTCGTCTTTTGGCGCGTTTCTTTTTTGATAATATTTCGCGTATTTGTCTCGCGTTATTAAAATTTCGGAAATTTTAGTATTGGGAGTAGTTTTTTCCCGTTACTAAAATTTTTGGCAGCTTTAAGAAATCTCGCGGTATTCAAATTTTGGTAGCTCGAGGAGGACAAATTCCCGGTAAGAAATTTTCGGTGGGTATATTCGCGAATATAAAATTTCCGAAATTTTTGGGATATGCTCGCGGTAATAAAATTCCCGAAATTTTAAGTCTGATAGCAGCCTCCGATTTTGGGGCAGCTCGTAAAGCACGCAAGAGCCTTTTAAAAGAAGCGCATCAAGATCTGAGACAGACTCTCAAGACACTTTCAAGAGGAAACGCATTAGGATCTTGGTTGCACGAGCTCCGGTGCCGCTCTCTCTGAATGCAGGGTGCAGGGTCGATGTGTCTCTCCTATATGTCTATACGTCTGTCTCTGTATTTGCGTTTGGCAAGTAGGGGTTCGTTTGTCTGTGTTAGTCTGTTTGTGTCTGTCTGGCTGTGTCTGTCGGTCGGTGTGTCTGTCTCTCTGTGTGTCTGTCTCTCTGTGTGTCTGTCTCTCTGTGTGTCCGTTTCTCTGTATGTCTGTCTCTCTGTGTGTCTGGATGTCTGTCTCTTTGTGCGTCTGTCTTGCTGCCGTCTCTTGATGTCGCCTGCTTGCCCCCGCTCGGCCGCTTGCACTGCTTGCCCTACCTGCCCTGCCTGCCCTGCCTGCCCT